AGCTCTCCTGAATGGATCTTTTGCTTCACTCCGTTATCAAGCTGATCGAAAGTTTTTGGGAGCATAGCTTGAGCTGTAGCAAATCGGATGCACTTAAATTCACTATCGCCATAAAGTATTATTAAGTAGTAATTAAATGCCGTTTTCTTGGTGATACTGCCAAGCAAGCTTTCTATTTATGCTCGGTTATCAATCGTGTTTTCCATGAAAATCATTTCAAAGCTATAAAATGTGAAATCTCTCACCTAGATAGTTTTGGATAGCTACGTTCTACATGACTAAATCCTTTCAGGAGAGGGTTGGCGACGCTAACGTCCCGGTACCTTGTTATTCGCGAAATAGATTAACCAATACAAAAATCACTAGCGACACCTGATAGAATGTTACTGTTGCATAATTATCTAAACTTTTTTGAGTTACAATCGATTTTTTCAAGAGTAAAGAAACTAAATTAGAAGAAAGATTATTAAAAAATTGATAAGCCCAGGTCAAACAATCCGGCACGGAAACGGCCGGTTCCGTCCAAACCTACATGAGCCTGTCAAAATCGGCAACCGGATTCCTGCGTCGAATTCCTGACGTTTTTCGGCGGGTTCCGGACGGAAACGGCAAGTTTCGTGTGGGTTTTCGCCGGAAATTCACGGATGCTGCTTCAGGAATCATCGTCCTAGGAGCAAATAAAAACCGCTCCCAACCGGTGATTTTCTTATGAACCGCAGGTAACCGATGGTTTTAATAAAAAATCGACGACATGGGAACTGTCGTTTGTCACACTGAGTGACAATAATTTATTTGAAGGATTTTCATTAGACTAACGATAAAGATAACAATGCTCACGATGATATATCGCTGTTGCAATAGATGACCTCAGGTGCTTGATGACATCGAATTTACTCCAAAACAACAGCTGGAGTCTGAAAGAATCTGGCATAGAAGGAAACTAAGAGAATTTTTCGGGGTATTGAAGTGCTGAATATCACTGTTCAGTTTTATTCCACAAAATCTAATACATTGAAATCGACATGAAAAAAGAAATTTATTTAAATGTAAATGCCCTGATGTGTGTTGATCGAGATGTTTGACGATATTGAACCGTTGTGTGACTACTCGGTTGGAGTTCGTGCATAATTCGGATCCCTCGTATTGTATCTGAGGGTGTGTGGATGTTACTATTCTAACTGCTTCACCCACATCCGTCATGAACAGAAGAGTCTTCTACCATGACTTCGTCTTCACCGGGGCTCTGACTATCGCTTAATCCCATTGGTGAACGAGTTATCATTTCATTCCATTCAAATGCATGCCATATTGGACATAACCAGCGTACTAGGTCGTCAGTCACATCATATCGAGAAATCAAAAACATCGATAGATGTGGCCATACATGCACTTCTCTTTTGGGTGCACGAGTAGAGTTTGCATGTTTCGTCAGATGTTCACAATACTTTCGTTTGGGCATTGAGATACACTTTTGTAAAGAAATCAGAGAAAGTACTAGCTGGTAATCGACCCTTTTCAATATCCGATGATTCATCTCGTAATCTTATTCGTCCGAAGTCACGATATTTGCACGTAAGACTTTACATTTAAAGATGTCCTTACAACGGGATCGAAAATGTATCATTCGCTAGTATGCTCTCCCTTTTGATTCTGCGGTCTCACTTCTGTGAGACGATCTGATGCCGTTTCTCTCAGTTACGTGGGCGAAGTCATTAGTTCGACCCCATTCTAAGAGCAAAGCATGATCAAGGTCGTTTCATTGAGAAAGGAGCAAAAATCCTTCAAATAAATTAGTGCCACTCAGCATAACAAGCGGCAGTTATCGTTATTTTCAGAAGAAATGACTCAGAACCCAAGACTTTCAATAGGAATGGTCTAATTTTTTCCATCCAAAGTGTTTCTAAACAGCATTTATATTTTTCAGCATGAAAAAATTCTGAAAAAGACATTTTAGAAAAGTTTCAGTTTTTTCCCTGACGTTTTCCCTTTGTCTGACAATATACCAGTCGTTCCGAAAAAATCAACCAGAACTCGAGAGTTAGCGCTAGCAAGGTTACATTTTTTTTCATCACCCAAGTCATAGAGGTACGTGGGAAACGACCGGAAAGCACGGGAAATCGCTGGAAAGTGGAAGCAGTATTCCAGGCGGAAATTACCGGATTTTCTTTCTGTGGATTCCGGTCAGTTTCCTGTGATTTCCGGCTGGTAGTTGACCGGAATACACCGGAAAACAATCCGGCAATTTCCGACCAGAATACTGTTTCCACTTTCCAGCGCTTTCCCGGGCTTTCCGGCCATATACGGTGATTTTTCCGCATCTTTCCGGCCGGTTTCTACGGCATCAGTCCTCCGGAACCATTGACCTGGGTAAAAGTGTTTTCTGCAACATACCGGAAATTTCGACTGAAAAAAAGCGAAAAAAAAACCTTCTCAGAAAAGTGGATGGGTCTCCATGGATTCACCCAATTGTGACATGTCGAAAAAGATAAAAGAACAACCGCATTTCATAAATTACCATTTATTATTGAATTAATTATCGGAACCATATAATCCGCTTTATGATTTCTCTGGGAAACGCTAATAGAACAGTAGAAAATGATTTCGGAAAGGAATCTAAAGTACGTCTAAACCTCCAATGAACTGATACTTCAGTCACAGTCATTGTGTTCTCAGCACAACTTTATTTATCATATCCTAATCTGTACGTCCTAATTTAGTACGTCTGAACCTTATACGTACCCATTACCTAAATGCTTTCATTTACAAATGATTCTTATTTCCACCTGAATCACAGAGCATTCATAACATTAGACGAGCATCGATAAATTGTTTTCTGTAGGAACTATTCAATTTCGTCTGAAAGAAACTAAATAAAATAGAATAACCTAAAGTAAATAAATGCATAAATATCAGTTGTTTCTTCCTTTTCAATTGTAGTCGAAATGGCTTGAATCGAAGTGTTGACATTAAGATGGCCACTGACGGGCCAACCCCTATTGGACAATAAATTTGGTCGGATAATAAGACATTTCCCATGTCGCACAAACCGATCGAGAAAAATCGGTTAACGCGGTTATGCAAGCTATTTTAGCGACTTTACAGTGTAAAAACCGACTGGTAACCGTGGTTAAAGGCTCGGCTAATCGGACAAACAGTCGGTTCGCCTCAATTAACCGGATATTTATCCGATTAACCGCCCAGGTCGAGCAATCCAACAGTGGGAACCAATCGGAACCCACCAGATCCGACTCGTATCCAGTAGGATCTTATCGGATTTTGTCGGATCCTACAGAACTATCGCCGGATTCCGGGTTCAAGATTCGAAGTTGAATTCTCAGTGTCGGATTCCTCAACCTGGGCGGACGTTTAACGACGGTTAACCGTCGGCTTTTACACTGTAAAGTCGCTAAAATGGCTTGCATAACCGCGGTTATATCGAAGAAACAAATCGAATTCATATAAAGTATCAACTCATTTTCTTCTTTTTCATAGCTCTGATTTTTATTTTTATTTTTTCATTTTCTTTATATTCTTCAGCTATTGATACTTCTGAAACTTATTTCGGGCGCAATAAACTAAATGAAAAACAAATGTCAACGCCTACGTCATTACTACAGTCAAAACTACATCCTCAAGCGCAATGTTATATTGGTCAAAAGTCCTTTTTTCATTTGTTTATAAGATCTATTATTTGGTAATGGTCATTTTTTCACAGTAGTATCATACTTGAAACTTGAATTGAATTACTGAACTACAATACAAGTTTCAAATATGACATATATCCTTTGTCAATTTCACCAGTTCAAATGAACGTACAGCTACTCTCATGGAGCCGTATGCCTGCAAGCAAATGGATTAAGATTTTGGTCATATTCACAATTTTTCTATCACTTTATATTTATTTATTTTCCAAAGAAATAGATGTGAGATTAATATTTCGACAAGCTCCAAAAGAAATATACTATGTCAAACGATATCCATTTACTTTTAATGCAGCAATTATTACGTTAAATTCATCGAATACACTGATTCGTATCTATGAACAACAATTTTCCCGTTACACTGCTGCTCCATTTTCACCGAACTTTGAAAATCATCGTTTAACGCTCAAATTCAATGTGAGATTTATTGCCACATATCTGTATGGCAATATCGGCAGTTTCCAAGGTGAAATCCGCTGTTTACGAGTCGTATGTTTGCAAAAACACAAAAATGAAACGATGTCTGTGCAATATTTCGATTTAAATATATGTTTCAACGTTCAGAAACTGAACGCACAAGCAATACATTTTACATTGAATTCTATAACGGCAGTTGAACCTTTCTTAATCATTTCAAAAATTCCGATCAATAAACAAAACGATCTCATTACCCACATCATTGTTCATGTTAATCGAATATGTTTCCCTGGCACTATTTTCAGTTTCAAGTATCAATGGCTCGACGCCAACGTTCTGAGTGATTTATATTGGCCTCAATGGCCCTTGAAAAAATCATGCGCCGATCATATTTATAAGCATCTTTTGCAAAATCGTACTGACGAGGCTCAAATTTACTTCTCCTGTTCTATTACCAGTATTTTAACTCATTCCACTTCACGACAGTTGTTCAATGACGAAAGAATTGCGATAGCTCATTGGCTCGATGCACAGTACAATTCAACGAGAACGGATTCATCTTTTACTCAAAATCTACTGGTTGATCAATTATCATCAACGGCACGAACAAGACGTCTTAGTCCATTTGAATTGGCATCAAATCCAAAGGTTTGTTCCGTCGAATTGCACCGGTGGATTTTGAAATATCAAGATTGGCATGAGAGTGTTAGTTTAACCATCAGTGATCCAAGCTTGAGCTTTGAGCAGCAGCGTGATCGCATCGTCGACCAAAATGTTCGTTTTATGCTCTATGAAAAGAGCACTTCAGGTATTGCCGATCGTATTGTTCACTTGATGACGACCTATCTGGTCGCAATGTTAACTAATCGATTACTTGTGTTCGATCCCAACTGGCCAGAATTTTCTCATTTAATGCTGTCAAGTTTAAATTATGAACGAGAATTGATCATTCCGTGGTTTCGTACTCTAGAACATCTTAATAGCCATTTATCTCGGAATAGTACAAAATATCTGACATCGGGCTACTATAAATTTTCTTTTGACCGACTAAATCGCGATTATGACTATGATCGACAATTTCCGGAACGAATCCTCATCTTTCGAGCCCATACAGGGGGTATTATACATACCATGATGTCGCAAACAAACGTATATCGTAAGTTTCTAACTGAAGATCTGCGCATGAGTGCAGATAACATGTTTGGATGTCTCTATCATTCACTGATTCTTTATCGACTGTCAGCATTAATCGAAATAACATCGATGAGCACTAGCACCCACTCTCTGGAAAACGAACATCTTGGTCATACGCCACGACAACTCCTACAAGTGCTTTTGTCGCCGAACTTTTATCCTATTGGAATTCAAGTACGCACTGGAGACACCAACATAAGAGGCGATAATCCTAAGAGCTGGTTCAAATTTATTACCAGTAAAAAGTCACTGCTTCCATCATTTGAATATTTCTTCACGTGTGCACGAGATATTGTTGATGGAAATCAAACATTTATCACTAACATCAAACAGGTACCAATAGCTTTTCTCATATCAGATACTACCCGACTTCGTCAAGCAGCTTTGTTACGCTGGAAACTACCATCCTCTTGTATTCAATCTTTTGGAAACACATGCCGAAATCACGAACATGGTTTGCCTGTGATAGCCAATTCAAATCCTGTTCTTCATGTCGCCTACACCTCAGAACAGCTGTTAGCATTACGTATGGCGATGTTTGATATTTTCCTGTTTAGTTTATGCGAACAACATGTGATTAGTGCAGAGAGCGGTTTCGGTAGTATTGGAGTATTCGCAGCCTTGAAACAGAGAAACATCTATTCACTTTCGACGCTTAGCACAAAATCGTGTAGAGGTAGTAATCAGCACATCTCTCTAGTGGCTTCCAGTTATCAGTGGTCTGGCATTCGATGAGAATAAGATACGATTGATATGTGTCATTGTTTTTATTTTTGTTATTATTAGCAGGATATCATGAAAATAGTCTATAATAAAGTGGCCCGATTATTTCTCAAGGCATCAATGAACAAGTTCCGTTCACAAGCTTCACACCATACATCGAAAGCCTTAAAGAATAACTTTCGTGATTATCATAAAATTTAGAAGTGAACAGACACATAGCTGAGTCATTTTAAAGCACTCATCTTCACGAAACGTACTTGTGTATGCTCTGTATCCATACTGTTTATGTGAAGAAGAAGGCCTAACAAAATCGTGGATCACTATCTATACTGAATCACTGATTATAGAATAAAACAAAGAAAAGAGACAAAAGTCATTGTTACTATGAATATGATCGTTAATTAGAAATAATGTCTTAATTTTTGCTTATATTTATGTCCCGTAAATCAATTTCGAAATGATAGACATACACGTTAAAACTTGAGTCATAATTAAAGCGGCGAAGTAAAAATTCTTGCCTCGCTAATTTTTGGTCGACTTGATAGCTGTTTTTTACATATAATTAGTAACTGAGTCGTGGACGCGTTCCAAACTCTGTGCAAAAAATGGATAACTCAAGAGGGGATATTCTCTGGTATCTGCTCGCTTTTGGCACGAGAGAGTGCATTTGTTGATGACAAGAATTTATGCAAAAATGAAAAGCGTTCCTGCTTGTACTTTAGGGTCTCAGTCGTATAGCACTTTTAATGGGTGTACCTATACGACCTATAGTTCATGTGGTGTGTGACTGTAGTTCAAAACAAATGGCCTCTCCCACATATACACCCAGGCACGCCCACCTACATCGACACCCACTTCCATAATCTCAATCAGGTTCAATCATCTACACCCACCCTGTTCACATCCACGCTTCCTACCTCACCTATCTGACATCGACACCAACCTCAATCAGTCTTTACTTCATTAAAATTCTATTTATTTCACACAAGTTAAAAAGCAAAGAAGCCAAAGAATCGAAATTCATGTATTTTCTTGGTAATAATTGCAAAATGGATTGTCAGTTGGATAACATCCCTGAGGATAAAAGCTGTTCAAACTTCCTTTTAGATGAGGAGGAACTGCGCATGGGTGAATATGGCTAGCGCAAGTATACTGATGACGATGAGAATATCCAATATCACATAGCTTAACAACCTGGTTTTTCTCTAAGAACTGAGTAACAGCTAATGTCCGAATTGGTGCATCTCCCCATCGATACTTGTATATGCCTTCAGATTTATCTACTTGACGCAGCCACGCTTCCATACGAGGCTCTCGCCATAAAGAACCATTGCATAATTCAAAATTATTGAAAATAATAGCATTTGAATACCATCCAGTAAAAGAACTCGTCTGTGTTTTCTTGACTGCGGAGGAAGGTATCATACAGGAATGTGTGAGAAATTTGTGAAATAAGTTCCATAAACCTTTTACATAAACTCGGTGATCCATATGAACCATTAAAAAAGAATATTGAAGTCGATTTATTTGCATATAGTCGAACAAGTCATACGTTAATGTTGGACCCAATAAATAAGAATGAGAATCAAGACGTAAATAGAAAGTAAACACGTTTGAAATCACTGGATGATACGGCAACAGTATACCAAAAAAATTGCACATATGACTGTAACCGATATGATACTCCTTCCGTGTACGAGCAATATTCACCTGAAAAGTGAAATAAAAATATGCTGAATCCTTTAATTCATTGAAATAAGGCTTCATCGCTAATTCTGAGCTGACTCTTTGCCAACAATTCTCAGTCATATACGACAGTATAGGAATAAATTTACGACAGAAAATGACAGATGTTTACAGTGACTGTTTATAGCGATCATAAAACTCTGCTTCACGATGAACTGCAACTATAATAAATACAAGAAGTAAACAGTCATTGTTAACAATTACCATGCTGATACGGGAAATGTAAACGATGATCCGATAATATCATAATCCATCATGTACATTATCTGTAATGATTTATTAACCATTTTGTTTTCTATCTTACTTCGATGTAAACAGATATCACAGATGAACTGTTCATTTTTGTGACACGATGATGTTATAAAGAGAAAATCAAAAACTTCTCCTTCGTACGGAGCATTAACCTATCAAGATTAAATGCGTATTATCCTACACGAGATTTTAGGAAACCCATGAGTTTCGAAAGCATTTTGCAGTTTAGGAATTTCAAGACAGTTAAAACGGAAAAAGTTAGGCGGCACTCTATTTGATCATATGTATTACAACTGCAAATATAGCTGATCTTAGACAATGAATCATAAAGATCATTAGACATTCAATGAATATTAATTACCAAGAACATGTTGAAAAGCGTTGATAGAGTTCGCATAGTGATAGAATCAATCATGTTTGACACAACATTTTACAAAAAATTTTGATCAGCTGTCATTCTAAAGTGTATATTTACAATCAGTAGACACGATAGAAAGAGAAAAAAAATGAAAAATATTAGAATGTTCTCACGACATAAGCGATTCTCATCAATTATGAAGTTGATCATTCATTTTTCATTTTATCATATTTCATTTAGAATGTTCGGCTAGTACTTCGTTCTGATTTTCTTGCCAGAATGAAGCTTGAATGGCATCTAGTTTCGTACAATAGTTATGTACTTTTACGGTATTACATATGGTGGTAATGCTATCGATATTCACCAGGTGATGCGTGAGCCATATACGGTCTCTTAAATTAACCACAATATTCGTGCACAGTTAGTTATGATCAGGATTAGGGGTGTCACTTTATATTTACATTATGAAATAAATATAAATAAAATGTTCATATTTGTAAAATAAAGATAGATATTTTATTTATATTTAAAAAATAAAGATTAATAAATTCTTTAGCTATATTTATGAAGTAACGATAAATGAAATATTTATGTTTATATAATAAAGATACATAAATCAGATAATTCGAAAAAATAAATATAATATAAATATAAAGTTAGCAATTTTTCTATGAGCGACAAAGAAACAAATACCTGATACAATATAACAGAACACAAGCTAATTCGAACAAGCTCATTCAAAAAGCGCTGTTACAAAATATATTTCGTGCACAAAACAGAGGTCTTTTAATCTAATCAAATCAGCGGAGCCTGAGTAAATGAATAATAACGAAATTATTGTGCAGTATCTTCAATTCATTTTCAGACTGATTTTTTTATCTAACATCAGCTTGCGATGCCATTAAAGGCTCCTTTAAATCCAAATCAATTATTGTTCCTTTAGGAGATGAAGATCGCTTCATGACGAATGCAGCTTCACGTTGAAATCGAACAGTTTTTTTAGAGCGGATACTTGCTGCATACAGTACTTTTTATAGTGAACAGTAGTAGTATTATATCGCATTCTTTTGGAAAAGTTCTCATTGTCAGTTTTTATTTCGAGGAACGTGAATTTCTATTTCTACTTTGTTATTCGTACTCTCAGGAAAATCGAAAAGACTGAAAGTTAATAGTTCTTTTAATTATACCTCCTCAGCTGAATCTAAACGAAAAAGGTGATAAATAAATAGAAATTTATCTTAAAATGTAAGGTAGCTGATATTCTGAATCGTAATTGCATATAGAAGTAAAATTATAAATCATGGCAATCTAGAGAGATTGTTAATATAGAGTAAAGTGGTTTTCCAAAATATATATATACACAACGAATAATAACTAATCATAAAGAGAATATAATATTCAAATATTCAAATATATATATATACATGAGTTTTATTTATTTTCTGATGAACTCATACTATTCTATCGCTAGGGTCTATTCTAGAAGTAATCACAATTTCTTATTTACAATATATCAATAAATGAAGCAAAGATATAAATCTAACAGTTAATCAGTTATCGTCAGTACTTTTTTAACACGAATATTGAAAAAATATTTACTAAAACGGTGAGCTGGATAATTTAACTAATGTCGTCATCGAGAAACAGAAATAATAGTGCTTTTAACAATGATCAGAGATTGATTACTTATTGTGTACACCTGGAACAAAGTTCAACATTTCTCTCACGTTAAAAGCGGAATCTAACTTCATTCATGTCTTTCTTTAAATATAAGAATGACGGTGAGTGGAAAAGAATAATCAGCATCAGTTGATTTCGATTTCGTTTCCCGTAACTGAACTAGCTTGAATTATATAAGATTATTATAAAAAAAAGAACAACATAAATAGCTTGTAATCATTTTTAATCTCCTCATTCTATACATTGAATTTGCAATCGACGAAAATATTTCGTACCATACACCCAGGAGAATGATCCCGAGAGTGGGATCCTACTTGATTCGTGTCGGAATCCGATAGGCTCCAGTGTCGAAACTTAACGGAATCTAACATAAGCATTCGAGTCATTTGTTCTTTTGGCACCATATACTCATTCATTGGTGATTAAGAAAAAATTTTTTTTCCGTCGGACCCGTTAGTAGGTTCGTGACCAGGAATCTGATCGGATTTTGGCGACTTGTTGGATCCCATGAGATCCGACAGGATTCACTGTCGGGTCCATTCACCTGGGCAATTGCAATTAGCCTCCTCTCTTGTTACAACAGAAATTTGCTCCTTTTTCGCTCATAGAAAAATTGCTAACTTTATATTTATATTATATTTATTTTTTCGAATTAT